AAAAAGAGAGAGAGTTGGTATATACAACGACCGTCAAGGATCGTCGTTCCAGCCAAAACAAAAAGTTTATCCCAAGTAGAAGCAACAAGTCATGGCAGCATCTCTTTATCATTTGAGCAGGCAACGATGGCGAGGCTTGGTCCTGGCGGTCGTAATGATTGGATGTCTTGTGGGAACTTCCAAGGCTGCTTCCAATTGTCCGATCAATGGCGGGAGTAGTGTACCCATCCTCCATGAAGCATTTCATCATTATCGACACGACAACAGCCATATCCAATACTGAAACCAGCAGAATTGGATATCTTGTTCCAGCTTCGGGGAGGAGCTGATGATGATGAGGATGATGGTATCTCTCTGGATGAGACAACTTCAGCTTCACCCATCATGTCCAAACTACGAAATGTCATTCGATCAGTATTGCAAATAGGAGACCGAAAGATCCCCATAGTGTCAACTGGTCTCAAGGCTATTTTGGGAGGACTTGAAAACATCCTGGAGTCGAGTTCCCAAGAAAAAGAAGAAAAAGGCAAAGAAAGCTGGCAAAAAGAACAAAAAGAAAAAGGCTGCAAAAAGAGGGTGATACTGAAGAAGAACGACAAACCAAAGGAAACATCCAAAAAACAACCCAGTGCTGCCACCAAAAAACATCTGGTTTCCAAACTGTCCGCTACCAACCCCAATTATCGGATCCAAAGAGAACTCAAAGAGTTCATCCAAGAACCGCCGCCGAATCTCTCTGTCAAGGTTGGCAAAAACATTCGAGTGTGGATCGTTACCATGATCGGAGCCAAAAACACCATCTACGAAGGTGAAGTCTACAAACTTCGAGTATCTTTCCCTCCACAATATCCAACCATGCCACCCAGTGTCTACTTTTTGCCACCCAACATTCCGTAAGTGATGACATGGCATTCGTACACCAATTATTTTGTTTGTCGGAATATATCCAATCAATCTTACTCTTCCTGTTCTTTGTTTGCTTTGTGGCACCCAAGAAAACACGAACACGTGTATACCAATGGAGACATTTGCCTGTCACTGCTGGGCAAAGACTGGCGTCCCACCATGACAGCTCAATCCATTGCCAACTCCATTCTATCCATACTTTCCTCGGCGCAGTCGAAGTCGATTCCTATGGACAACGCCAAACATGCCCAAAACAAACCAGGACAGTACCAAGAAGATTGGGTGTATCACGACGACAATTGCTAATGATCAAACACTTGCATCTATCTAGATCCATACGAAATGGCCGACAAAGGGAACTTTAGTCGCGGCAATTCAAATGGATGAGTCAATCTTCTTGGGTGTGATTGTTGTGTAGGGCCACAAGCCATGGACGAGCTATTCGTTGATCATGTCAGTCAATGTAAACACTAACAACTGTACTGGTATCCAGTAGGCAGAATCTGACCCTTGCTTGCTTGCACGCCAATCCAGTCCAATAGTCGTAAAACTAACTTCCACTATAGCTAGCTAGGAAAGCGATTCCTATGCTTGGCAACTTGATTGTGTTCTGGGACGGCAAGCGTGATGCCACCGGTGAGAACCTGCTCCTACCTAGACAATTGTTGGGAGATGATAGCACTGTAGATACTGGTAGGCTGGGGGAACGGCATCTTTCAGGCCTGGCTACAAGTGTATCTCAAGCTTCAGCTGGCTGGCTAGCTAGCTACTGCTGCTTCCTACCAGTACATGTCTTCAGCAACTTCTTTGCTTTGTGGACACCCAAATGATAGAGTTCATCTCTCAAGACTTGCACTACCGGTAGCTAGCTAGCTATTAGCTAGCTAGCTAGTAGTAGCTAGTAGCACCGCTACTTGGACGGCCACAGGGAATCGATCGAATCGAATGATTCGATTCGATTCGATTCAATCTTTTTCGGGTGAGCTTCGGCCGGCCGCGCGGACAAGGATATCGTTTTAGGGTTAGGGCTCATATTTCTGACACCAAATGGTCTTGCCGTCGTCCGTTCAAATTGAACAAAAGCACAAAGATACCGCCTCAACTTCTCAAGGTGAGGGAACGTCATCTTTCTCTTGAAGGTGTGGACCGTGGTTATGTTTGTTGCCACTTTCTTCAGTCAATCAATATATCCATCAAGATCACCATGAAGCTCACCATCTTTGCCATCCTTGCTTCGTAAGTTCGTCGTTGTGACGTTGGCCGTCGTGGCGTATCGAAGAGATCGCCTGAAAGGACCGGAACGATCTGAGGAAAGCTCTTCAGATGTTTCCGTGGTGTCCATGGGCTTCTTTTGTTGAGTTCTCAATTTCTCATCCTGTATCTTTCGTCTTTCCCTACAGGGCTGTTGCCGCCTTCGTTGCCCCCCAGGCCGCACAAACCTCCACTGCATTGAACGCCGAGCGTCGTGAATTCATCTCCGCCGCCGCCGTTGCCGGACTTGCTGCTTTCGCACCTGCCGCGAACGCCGTCCGTGACTACGAAGGTATTGGATACCTTGGAGGAGGCAAGGTCGTTGATGTTAACAACGCCAACGTCCGCGCATACTTGAAGATGCCTGGTCTTTACCCCTCTGTTGCCGGAAAGATCGCCTCCAACGGACCATACAAGTCAGTCGGCGACCTTTACAGCATCCCAGGACTTTCAGGCGCAGAAAAGGACTTGATCAAGAAGTACGAAAGCCGATTCACCGCACTTGCCCCATCTGCTGACTACGTCATTGACCGCATCAACAACGGACTTTACCGTTAAATTATGCAAATAAACCTTCTGTCGCGTTGCTAGATTTGGACAAATTAGTGTCGGCTGATCCTTTGGGAATTCCCTCTTGACCTTACATAATAGATTGGTTATTGGTGATCCACTTGCTACGTGTCTTCTATCTTTAGTTTACGAGTAGTCGTGATGTCAGGCAGAAGTTAGAAAACAAATTGGTCTCTCATCACTGGCATTGGAAAAGTGCTGTTCGGCAAAACCTGGAGGGAGCGCTTTCAAAGACAAGAGTGCTGATCTCCCGGAAGGCTGACCCCATTGCACAATAATATGATGTTGAAGCAGCCAACCCAAGCCTATTTTGCTTGTTTTGCTGCGAAGACCAGCCTCGCACAGGTCTTGGTAGCCGCACGGCAACATTATCTACATGTACGTCGCAACATGACACCTTGTATCCACACCGCAAGGATTCAATAGAGAAGGCTGGCTGGCTGCCTGCACTCTTTTCTTGTCTGAGGTTGTTGTCTCTTCCACACGCCCTGCCCTCTCTACGGAATGAGCAATAGTAGATGATTTACAAACTACCGTAGGGAGGCGGGCAGGAGTGAGGAATGAACTATGTGTGTGATGAGAAGAAGATCCCGCCAGTGGCTAGCTGGGTCTGCATTTGTACCGGTACACCCAGATGGACGTATCGAAGGACTTGTAGTAAGGGTAATATCGCTCATACGGTAGGTGTAGAAACATTGAGGGCGAGTGCTTAATTAAGTGCTTTGTGTGCTGCAGTCCAGATGTTGCCATATTCACCAATGCTCTGACATATGAGGCCACGATGGAGTGTAGTACCAATGCTGACATATGAGGACGCGATGGAATGTGCCCGTACCGGTACTAGCTAGTACTAGTAGTTCTTTGGAGGAATGGGAGAACGGCGTCGAGAGCAGAAAAGAGTTCCTGATGACCCACAAGTGCAAAATCAGGGAGATTTGCTTGCAGACCCCTGGAAGTGTTTCTAACTAAAGTTCCAAGTACGTCATGCGTCTCCTCTACGGAAAACGCAAGTCAGATTCATACGCAAGACACTTCGCCAACGAATTCCAAAACTTCGCACCTCCTTCACCATTCCGACTCAACCGCACCATTCAAAGGAACAGCATCGAAATTAGCATCCTATGGCAAGGCAACCCCATCAGCACTGTCAAGAAGACCTTCGGGACACGACACTGCAGCCTATGCAACAGGGAGCGACTCGAGATACTGAAACGATCCAGAGAATCGCCAGAAAAGCTGATCAACTCCTGCAACGAAATATACGGAGCATGCCGACATAAACCACGATTTCATAAGTACCACAATAGCCCAAGCACTGATGATTCCCATGGGGGATGAAAAAGTCAAACAACCGAAAAGTTACCACAGAGTAAAGCCTGTGTTTTGGCGATTCGGCAGTTTGTGAGTAAACTTACTTAGTTCAGTCACTTTTTGCTAAAATCGTATGAAAGTTCCAAGTAGTGCCCATAGGGCCACAATAGCGAGAAGAAGAGTCCAAGCCATCTCAAAGCAGATTGTCATTGCTTGGGGCTCCCTCGTGGGTGGGAGACACTTCGTGAGAGGGGTTACCTGTAGGGCACATCGTTGGATCCAATGTGCTACCTTGCTTTTCACGATTAAGCAGCAGGACTGAAGCAAACGGCTTCTTTGATCCTTGTGTCCCTGGCATTGTCGCCAAGACGGATCTTCTGGCAATTTTTTTAGGAGCGACCATGACGATGGAAAGACTGAGAGGCCGGGTGCTGTTTCTGTTGGGTTTGGGGCTGATCGCATCGACTGCCCATGCAGGAACTGGAGATCATCGTTACAAATCGAGTGAACACGTTGAGTTGTGGGTTAACAAGGTACGAAGGTTTCTTTCTTGGGTCTTTTGGTAGGGTCCAGTACTAGTTCTACGAGCTGTCATTTCTTGGCATCGAATCCCAATGACTGGAAGGAATCCACTAGGAATCCACTAGGAATCCACTGTGGATATTGATCCGTCGAGGATATTTTATCAAGAAATGGCACAATCGATGCTTGGTTGGGTTGTCTTGATGCGGTCCTCTACCGTTTCCGCAGAAATGTCTTTTTTCCGATTGAAATCTGCGGCTAGTATTGATGCGATCTCGTTACTTTGGATTTTGCGGATGTTGCCTTTTTTCGTTTTCGACCTGTGCCATGTCAAGACGGATCCCCGTAAAACATCTCTCACACACGAATTTTTTTCTTTTGGTAGGTGGGACCCTACGCCAATCCACAAGAAGCCTATGAATACTACACTCTGCCGTACTGCGCCCCCGACACCAAGCATCACCCAGACGAAAAAGACAAAGGAGCAGACAAGGGCCGATTCAATGAATGGAAAATTCAAAACATTGGAGAGTACCTGGGAGGACATGCTTTGAGGCATTCGGGCCATGACATTACCTTTGATGTTGGATCCCCAAAGACAGAATCGTGCAAGACCAAACCGTTGACTGATGAGGAAACCAGCAAGTTCCAAAAAGCTGTACGTGACCGTTGGTTTTATCAAATGTACCTTGATGATTTGCCAGTGTGGGGAATGGTTGGAGAAGTCCTTCCAGCATCCAAATCGGCAGATGGTAAGGAAACCGATTTTGCGTTTTCGGAAAAAGACGACCGTGATCGTTTGGATCAACTCTTGGCACAGGCTAGTGACCTCTCCGAGCAATCAGACTGGAAAGAATACATCTACACAAAGAGAAACTTATTGATCAGCTACAACAAAGACCAAATTGTCAAGGTGGACTTGACCAGTGACCCAAAGTCACTGCAGCTCTTGAAACCAGGCATCACCATCGAATTTGTGTTGGAAGTGACTTTTGAGGCTACCGAGGAAGAATTCCACTCAAGATTTGATCGTTACTTGGATCATGACTTTTTCAAACATCCAATCCATTGGTTTTCGGTCTTCAACAGTTTTATGATGGTCTTGTTCTTGATTGGTTTAGTGGCCTTGATTCTCCTCAGGACACTCAAGAAGGACTATGCACGATATGGTATAGTGTATGATTTGGAAGATGCCGGAGACGAGGAGGTGGACGAGGATGGAAAACCTCTGGTGGCCGGTGAAAAAGTGGAAGATGCTGGCTGGAAACAAGTCCATGGAGATGTGTTCCGAGCACCACAGTTTCTACCTCTTTTTGCGTCTTTGGTTGGATCTGGATGGCAACTGATTGTGCTCACTCTTGGTGTCATTTTGTTTGCCGTTATGGGGCCCCTTCACGGAGAGGTGCACGAAGAACGAGGTGAAGTCTTCCATGCTATCATTGTCTGCTACAGTCTCAGTTCCATTGTAGCTGGCTACACTTCTGGAAGTTTCTTCAAGATGTACTACCCCACCACAGCTGCAGCACGACGAAATACTTCGGCGAAGGGTGGGACCTCACAATGGCAGATCACCATGGGCGTGACAATCTTGCTGACCCCAACCGTCACTGCAGGAATCCTGTCATTTGTCAATGCTGTATCCCTCTTCTATGGCACCATCAACACAATTCCTTTCTTGGTTATCTTGAAGTTGTTCTTCATCTGGGTCTTCATCTCTGTCCCACTTTGTGTCGTGGGAACTCTGATGGGTCGTCATGCTCGTGTTGGGGCTGGAGGTGGCAAAGGAGGTGCCGCTGAACACTTCCCCTGCCGTGTCAATGCCATTCCAAGACCCATTCCCGAGGAAGTGCCATGGTACGGACGTCCCCAAGGTCTCATCCCTCTTGCTGGACTGCTCAGCTTTGGATCCATCTTCATTGAACTCTACTACGTTTTGACATCATTGTGGAACTACAAATTCTACCATGTCTACGGATTCTTGTTGGGAGTGTATTCTATTCTGACCATTGTTGTAGGAATGACATCCATCATTGTGGTGTATTTTTGCCTCAATGCTGAAAATTACCTCTGGCAATGGACGGCATTTGGAAGTGGAGCCAGTACTGCTGGTTACGTCTTTCTTTATGGAATCTACTATTTCCTTTTCAAGACCCAAATGAATGGGTTCTTGCAGACAACATTCTACTTCGGATACATGAGTCTCATTGCCATCCATCTGGGCATGCTTTGCGGGACTCTTGGCCATTGGGCGGCCAGTAGATTTGTACGAGCCATCTTTCAGAATGTGAAAGTGGATTGAGACTTTGAGAGTGCTGCGGTGATTGATGAATGCACTGGCGAATTTCATCATGTTGTGTAACTTGGATAGAAAAATCAAACATATTCCTAGTAGGACATTATTACCAGTTGATTTATGCAACGCTTGACCTGCTTCCGATGCTTCATGATGTTTGCGTGGCTGTGGAAACACTTTCCGTACCGTGGAGGTGGAGAGTTCCTGACTTTCGGCTGCAAAAAATTGCTGAATGTAACCCAAGTAGCGTAGTGAATGCAACCGAGCCTTGGATTCACTGGTGGCCGGCGCCTCGAAAAAAGAAAGAGTAAAGCCCGCGAGTAAGGACGGATGAGCACGGTGCCCATCAGCACTCGAACAAGGATATAAACGATGTAAGTGCACTAGTCTGTTTTACGCTACCAAGCCGTTGGCGTTCTCCGTATAATTGTATTGGTTTCAAGCACATGAGATATCGAGCTCCTTCCCATTCTATTCAGCCTCCGGCGCCTGCTTCTCAGATTTGCGCCAATTCATCTTCTTCTTGAATCTCGCTGCAACGTTCTTCAGTTTCCTGGGGGACTGGCTACCGTTGGACTTTGGAGTGTAGGTTCCGTCGTTGGCGTCCCGCGACTCGCCTGGGTTGATATTATCTGTTTCGATCCTCAAACCTTCGCGACCACTCCAGGGGTCGCTTCCACCTTCTTTCAGCTGGTCAGAAGTAGTTTCTTGGACACCTTCCCTTTCCATTTCATCATCTTCTGCTGGGTACGCATGACGGTTTGTAACAACCTTCTTTGGTTTCTTTGGTTTTTTCTTCTTCTGCTGCGGGTTTGCTAACGCGGTAGCCACTGGCGATGGCTTCGGCTGAGCAGACTCACCGGCTGCGGTAGGCACTTGGTGTTCTGATTTGATCTTGTCAAGCTCACCTTTTGTCTTGTTCAACTCTCCCAAGACACCGTCCATTCGCTTCTTCTCTGCGACTAGATGGTGCTTCAAGACATTCTCTTCGTGCTTGTCGAGATCGGTCTTCAGTTTTGTCAGCTGAGAAATGGCACTGTTAAGATGTTGCTTTTGGTAGAGGAAGTTATCCTTGGTCATGTTTCGCTCCCGTTCAGCAACCATTTTCTTCAGGTTCATGAGTTCTTTCGTCACCTCCAGCAACTGCTTCCTATCTTCTTCTAAACTTCCTTTCTCTTTGTTCAGTTCGCTCTCCATTTTTGTCTTGGTTGCTCCGATGCAAAGATTCATCAGCTCAGAGATACCGTGCGCAGGTCCACACTCCGCCGGTAACTTTTCTTCTTTGTTTTTTAAATGTACGGCTTCTGGGAATTCTTTCATGAGGAAGGTGAGGGTTTCGAGAGGAGTGCCTTTTTGAAAGGCCAAGTGGAGGGGATAGTTGCCTTCTGAGTCCGGATTTCTGACTCCTTTAGAATAGGTTTTGTGCAAGATCTGAATCACCTTGAGTGGAGCGTTGCGAGTGACTGCAGCGTGGATCGGAAGGCTACTGATCTCGCCGTTCCCGTCCTTCTTAGCGGAAGTTACCCAGGTCCTTACCTGGGCGGATGCTGCCTTCTCGCTAACCTGATAGAGTTGAGCGCACAGTGAACTCCATTTCCACCCCCAACTTCCAGTCTCTAGAAAAGTCGCAACGCTATCCCACTCCTCGTTCTCAATGGACTTGAATAGAGGCGTGACCTCGTTGACTTGGGCTTGCGTCTTCTCGGACATCTCTGTGGGACTTGTTTCCAGTGTCCTCTCCATGAGGGATTCGCCGTCGTCATCGTCGTCATCATCATCGTCATCATCGTCGTCGTCATCGTCGTCTCCACTATCACCCTCTGTCTCGTCTCCATGACCAGTTTCATCCATATCATCATCGCTCAATAGGCTTTCGTCGTCATCGTCAGTGTCGGATTCATCGGTTGTTGAGGATGCTACACTGGTTATATCCGATTCCTTTTCGTCAACCCACAAGTTCACACTAGATGTCTCCTGGAAGTCCTCTTGTGGAACCAAACGGGGCCTTCCTTTCATCAACCGAGTCTTCATCATGGCTTGGGCAACAGCCAACTAAAAGCTCCACCTGCCAGAGTGAAGATGAGAATAGCAGCAGAAGACGACTAATTTCACCAAGATAAATCCTGAGAGTCAAGAGTTGACGCGCTTCCTTGGAGGTCGCTGATAACAATATTGTTAGGGACTTCGGTGAGTAAGTGTCGTAAAGGCCGGTGCGTTGAGACTCGCTTCCTCTCTCCGTCTTCGTATGTCCTCAATTCCAGGGATACTGCGAAAATGTGAGTGACAAGCTATCAGCGAATTTGGCTATGGTAACTAAGCTTTCGTCCCAATGAGCATGCTCTAAGTTCCATCGCTCATTCTTAATGGTGACTCCCACCAGCCGCTGCTGGCTCGATACGTCCCGAGCACCTGCGCGATACGGTACGACTGTTACGTACTGCACTGGTACAGTACCGGTACCTGGTACGATGTACGTACCGGCACCGCAATACCGCACCGCAATAGCCAACTGTAATCCTTTTGGAGTTGTTCCTGAAACCTCGAAGACAAAAAGGAGAACCAAGCCAAGCCATCACTTCTTTCGCACTCAATCGAGGAGGAGGGTTGAAACGTACTGTATTTGCACCTTCATAATAATAGAGTATCGATGGTATAATAGAGTGATACTGTACCTTGGTGCGGGATGAGCAACGCGGGTGGCAATTGGACACGGAATTGTTGGAAGCACACACACCACCGCTCTTGCTTGCTAAAACGATGTCTCCGTCCCGTATCGAGACAGCTCTTCGTCTCTAGCTAGTAGGTTGGTTATTATTTAGGAGAACGAGTATCTGAACCTTTGTCCGATTCCTATGTGATAGCTCAAGAACAGCCATGTACTTTGCTTGCTTGCTTCTGTTTGATTATTTCGAAGCTGTGCGTTGTCAGCATGGCTGAGACCACAGGTTGCTTGGTTGGAACGAATATTGGGTGGTAGCAATCGTCTCTGGACGATCCGGCAATTGGGATTTGTGACGTCAGTTTCACGACTGAATAGAACTGTCGTCAAACGTGCTTTAAATATGATTTAGGCGACAGTTTAGGCGACCGTTGAAAAATAGGCAACAGTTTAGGCAACAGCTAGGATTTAAGCAACCGTTACTAGCATTTAACGGGTTGTTTCTCGAAGCATTAGGCAACAGTTTAGGCAATTGCCTATAAATAGGCAACTATTTAGGCAATCGCCTAGATTTAAGCAACTGACTGTTGCCTAATTCTTCGAGCATCCTTTCAGTCGTGATTCATATCTAGCTAATTGCCGGATCGTCCTGAACCTTCGTCCCTTTTCCCATGAGATAGAGACACACAAGCTCTGCCCCACATCGGCGTTCACATCCATAATTTTAAAAGCTGCGTCCATTGATAATTGATTGGCTGCTGAAGCGAAGAGAGTTGTCACAACGCGACAGGGTCTGAGAGAGGCAGAAGTACGGTACCGGTAGCAGTGGAGCAAAACAGAGCCAGCCGTTCGTAGTACCCTGTAGCACCTCTTCTGCAAGGACGAAAAGAAGCTCAACAGAGGCTTTGCAATGCTCAAAGTCCTAGGCTGCCGTCCGACACGAGCCAGTAGGTCAGTCCCTGGAATCGATGTTGAAAGGCTTCAGCTCCAGCCGCAGCTTCAGTGGCTCATCCCAGGCAGCTTGCCAGCTTGCCAGCTTGCCTCCAATTGCGGTCAGGGTACCGGTACGTGATCGTTGAGAAAATGCGAGGCGCCGTACTAGCTAGTGCCTCGGGAAAACCTGCGGTTAACCAGCCGTGCTACCGAAGTTACTAGTGCTCTGGAGTAGGAGTACTGGGTGGTCGTTGGAGGATTGGTGGATTGATCCCGACGAGACTAGCTAGTAGAGCTCGGATAACTTTTCAAGAACGGAATAGTTGGCTCAAAGTCAAGTACAAGTGGCCAGCAAGCCGCCAGGCCCTGCCCTTGCAGACAAGGAACTCAGATAGACCAAAGCAACCATTTGTCAGTCTGATCTATGCATACATGTCAGTGGTTTCGGGTTTCGGGCTGGGCGGATGTAGTTGGAGAATCCTACCGGTAGTCTACTTCTGGCCTATCATGAAACTGACGTCATCAACCTGGCAAATTTTGGGCACGAGTCTTGGCAACAAAGAGCGACCGTGGCTCGGTTGTTCTTTCGCTCACACCGTAGCTTTCTCACAAGACCTTCCGCCTTCCAGAGCTCATTGGTCATTATTATCCAACCTCTGGCTAGCCCAACAACGTTTGTGTCAGATACATGATTTCTTTGTAGCTCAGACTGAAGGAAACACTTTGAAGACCTGGCAAACATCAGATTCCTGCTACGTGTACCTTGTTCCTTCTCTCCGGCCACACCCGATCATAAGAGCCCCCCTTATCATTGCATTGGCAATTATCCCTTCCATGTTTTGTTGGAGGTGACAGCATCTCAGAAGCTAGCTACGGTAGTTCTTCGACGGAGAAAAAACAATCAAGGAAACAAGCAACGGGAAAATGGCGACGTCTTCTGGAGTTCCCCAGATTTTGACTCGGTCCATGGTACCGTCGTTAAGCGAAGGTTTGGACGCCGGCGATATTTTGGAGTGTTACGCCTTAATCCGACCAGCTCAATTACATAATCCCATGATGCCGGATGCGACCATGACAATTCACAAAGTGGCTATTGGTCTAAGATATAGACCCTTGAAAATGAATGACATGGTGGACGAAGTGAAGATCAGGGAAATCACGCTAGAGTACGGGCCGCAGAGAATGGGTGCCAGTCTGACCCAGGAGAGTACGCCTGGTGTCTTAGTGGAACAGGATCCAGTGGCAGGGACGGGAATTGGCATGAACAGCAACAGCTCGACGTCCAGGTCTTTTGTCACGTGGGAGAACGAAGGGAAAATCTACTACACTACCCGAATAGGAAGCACAGGATACATCAGTGCGTACTACATGGCAAGCGTCACTGGATCGGTTCTGGAGAGAATTCTGGAAAAAGCTTTGGAGTATCCCATGCAAAATGCACACATCAGGGGACGATCAAAGAGATACCAGCCATTTGTGGTAGTGGATGGGACCAACAGTCCAATACCACCACCGGGGTATGAAGGCGATATTGATGCGAACCGCAAAGTCTTGCTCAAGTCAAGTAGCAGCACAGACTTTATGGGGTATATGTGGAAAACATTGGCAGAGTTGGGAGTCAACATGCACCCTATTCTAGCACCTCCTTCCTACCAGGTCCAGCTTGTGGCTTCTGGGATCGAAAAAGTCAAAGTAGGACCACCCGACTGGGCGACACAACCAGCTGCATCGTTTTATGAAAAACTGTATCAGTGCATTGAAGCGAAGGTCACTGGGGACTACAGCAAATATGCCAAGCCAACTCCAATGCCCACGTCCAAGCAAGCGCCGTCGCAAGCTCCCAGTATGGCAATAGGAAGCTCCAGTCCGACAGATTTCGGCAACAGCAGTGTTGCTGAAAGCAATTCGGACGATAATGACGAAGAAAATATTGATGATGGGGGAGCACGAAAACGCAATTTACGAGCAGATTTCCCGGGCACACCACAACTTCGGGAAACGGATCCTCCCATTGATGCGCTCCTCAGTATTGAAACTATCATTCACGACGATGACAATAACCACACCAATGCTGGCAACGGTACTATTGATGGAGCAAGGAATTCTACCGCGAACGACTCTGTCAACATTGACGGGGGCGTGGACGAGGACGTGGACACATCCGACGACCAAATTGACTCTCTCGAGGAAGGATCCCCTGCAAACGACACACTCGCAAATTCATCTTCGCTTGTGTCCGCAGCTCCCTCAATATCCGCTTCCCCGACATCTTCTCCGGCACCATCCGTTCTGCCGTCGTCAAAACCAAGCGTCTACAAGGTCAACAAAAAGGACACGAAAAGCGAAGTCGACGAAGTGCAGCAAGCAGCCGATCAAGCCAAACAAGCGGCGGCGGAAGCAAAGGATGCCGCCAAGACAGATGTTGATACAAAAGCCGCAGACGCCGCTCAGGTAGCAGCACAGGCCGCTCAAAAGGCTGCCGATGCTACATCCACGGCAGCAGCTCAATCGGCGTTGGAGTCACTGCTCAGCGGCGACGGCAATATCATGCTCTCGGTTGTATCTCCCTGCATATCAGATCCTCAATTCGGCATTGCCACGCTAGATGTGAATGATACCGTGATCTCGCAGGCTTATCTGTACATTGACGGGTCGTCGTATTACAAGGTCAACTTGACGTATCCGTGGGTGCAAGTGGTACCCGTGGACATTGAGCTGCCCTCACCGCTAGATTTTGGCGGACCCGGATCTGGCGCAGAATTCGTGGATTGGACCCTTGCACTGATGTTGCTTTTCATGTCTATTTTTGGGATTCTGATGCTAATCCAGCAAGTATTTGGTGGCCACGTGAAGTTAGTCGAACCCCTCTACAACTTCCAGCTTTGGTTTTTCAATCCACTTCATTACAAGGACATCAAGGGCAACATTGAAGAAGAAAGAAAAATGACAATGTCGACGCAGGGACGTGGCCAGCCGTACAATTTTGCTCAAGATGTGATTCCGGTCTCGATGGGTGGAAGGAAGAGCACGGGGTCAATTATGGCTCCTGGCCGAAGGTTCCTTGGCAATCCAACAAGCGATCAAGTTGACGACGAGAGGGAGCGCATTCCCCTGACTGCTAGTGTGGAAATCCCAGAAGAAATTGAAGCAAATGACGATTTACACGAAATAGAAATGACAGAAACAGGAAGTCCGACCCGTCGCGGTTGTGACGAGCTGCAACGCGCTTCCAGTGGAGCAAGCGCTGATAGCGGAGAATCGGCATCATCGCAATCGCATCACCATGGTGGTGAGAATGGAAGCAACTCGAGCAAAGTGGTTGGGAACATGGAATTGATTGAAAATGACCATCGCATCCAAGAGAACGGAGTACCGAAGAGATTTAGGCGGGATCCTGATTTGGTGGACATGCCCAATTTGAAATCTACCTCCAAAGTGGCAATCCCAGTAGGTCTCAAGCGAAACAGATCATTCTATTCCATTGGCGGCAATACGCTATGAAGTGGGTTGAATTTATCATACTACATGCATCAAAGAGCCCGATCCCCTTCTCCCCGCCCCGTAGTTTGGCAACGTTGTCTGCAGGTGGAAGGCCTATTGGGGATCAACGATGGAGCTTGCGCATGGTACGACTGTACCGAAGAAAGCCGGATTGTCAGTGCCGTAGCTCGTCTTTTGTGGAAATCTTTCAGTGGCCAACCCTTGGCAGTCACACCAAGATCAGGAGGACCAGCTCGGGATGTTGACAATGTATTTTCAATGTCAGGACCAGGACCAGACCTTTAGTCTCCCTCCACACTGGTCTCCAGCTCCCACCTGAAGTAGCCACTCTAGCTCAACCAAGGGAGCTAAAAAACGAGTTCAACAATCATCTTTCTGTACCGGTTCCATTTTAAAATGACACCCGAGAAAGGAAATGAATAAAATGCTAGCTTGCCAAATTCAACCACCATCATTTGGTTTCTATTCTACCGTGGCTAGCTAGCTTCCCAGCCTGCCCAACCGGCCATCATAATAATAGCAAAAAGCGCCTGGACGAGTGAGTGGCTGCTCGTAGTTCATAGAATGAATAGTCTCTTTGGCTCAGGCAGCTTGCAGAACAGCGTCGACACAGCCGTGACAGCTGCATCTTGACGCTTTTAAAAAACCAGTGGATCTGATTGGTCATTGTGCTGTGACTGAACACTGTTCGCAGAAATGCCTGTGTGTCTTTGGATCCACCCAAAAATCCAGAGGAAGAAGGAAAAGCGTTCCTTTGTTGCATTCGCGTCCATCAAAAAAGCCAAAAGTGTCTGTTGTTGCAATCTCATTATCATTTCCCATCGTACTACAAGTATTTATTATTACGATTGGTAAAGTACTTTCATCTCTTTCATCAGTATCACGATGTCGACTTCCTCGTTGCTCATGAAGCAGCGCCGTATGGCGTCGAGCGTCTCTCGGCAAATTTTGCAGCGCCGTCGAATTGCCACAACTGCCGTAGGATGCCGTTTGACGGATGCCTCTTTGGGTGTCTCTCGTAGCGCTCCCGGCGGTCTTTCCACCAGTGCTCGCTTTGGTGGAAGTAACAACAGAGTCAGCGCTTACAGCAGCCGCTTCTTTTCCACCTTTTTGGATGATTACCGTCAACACACGGAGGAACGAAGTGCCATGGCGGAAGGTTACGGAGTCGCTCCCAATCCCTTGTCGGCAGAACAGGTTTCTGCTTTGATTGAAGATTTGCGCAAAGCAGACTCTAACCATGAAGAGCTCGTGGCCTTGTTGGTTCACCGTGTCCCTCCTGGTGTCGATGAAGCTGCCTATGTCAAGGCTACCTGGTTGAGTGCCCTTGCCAAGAACGAAGAGACTTCTCCTTACATTAGCCGCGAAAGAGCTGTCGAATTGTTGGGAACCATGCAAGGAGGATACAACGTCCAGACTCTCATTGATTTGTTGGAAGATTCCGATGCCGCCATTGCCGATCTAGCGGCAGACCAACTTTCACACACGCTTTTGGTTTTTGAATCCTTTTATGACATCGAGGCTCTTCACAAGAATGGATGCAAGCCAGCAACCAAGGTTTTGGAATCTTGGGCCAATGCCGAGTGGTTCTTGAAGAAACCAGAAGTCCCGGAGGTCATGACTGCCACCGTATTCAAGGTCACTGGAGAAACAAATACCGATGATTTGAGTCCTGCCCAAGATGCCTGGAGTCGTCCCGATATTCCCCTGCATGCCGTGGCAATGCTCAAAAATACTCGTGAGGGAATTGAACCCATCAAGGACGGAGAAATTGGACCTTTGCATCAAATTAAGGAACTGCAAGAAAAGGGATTTCCCCTCGCTTACGTTGGAGATGTGGTTGGAACTGGATCTTCGAGAAAATCGGCCACTAACTCTGTCTTGTGGTTCATGGGAGAGGACATCCCCCATGTTCCCAATATCAAGTCGGGAGGATTGTGCTTGGGAGGAAAAATTGCTCCCATCTTTTTCAACACCATGGAGGATTCTGGAGCCCTTCCTATCGAGTTGGATGTCAATGATTTGGGCATGGGAGATGTTATCGATGTTTACCCGTACGAGGGCAAGGTCACCAACCACGAAACTGGTGCTGTAATTACTGAGTTTGAACTCAAGACTCCTGTTATTATGGATGAGGTCCGTGCCGGCGGTCGTATTCCTCTCATTATTGGACGTGGACTGACCAGCAAGGCACGTGTTGCTTTGGGACAAGGTGAAGCTGTTGCGGATATTTTCCGCATGCCCGCCTTGCCGGAAGGTGCCAAGGCACCAGAAGGCTTCACCCTCGCTCAGAAAATGGTTGGAAAGGCCTGCGGACTCCCCGACGGGGAGGGAATTGTTCCTGGACAGTACTGTGAACCCAAGATGACCACTGTCGGATCGCAGGATACCACGGGACCAATGACTCGTGATGAACTTCGTTCTTTGGCCTGCCTCGGATTCACTGCTGACTTGGTTATGCAATCATTCTGCCATACTGCCGCTTACCCCAAGCCCGTAGATGTCATCACTCACCACACTTTGCCCGATTTCATTGAGACTCGTGGAGGAGTCGCATTGCGTCCTGGTGACGGCATTATCCATTCTTGGTTGAACCGAATGTTGCTCCCAGACACTGTGGGAACTGGTGGAGACTCTCACACACGTTTCCCTATCGGTATTTCCTTTCCGGCCGGATCTGGTCTTGTCGCGTTCGGAGCTGCAACCGGAATCATGCCCTTGGATATGCCAGAGAGTGTGTTGGTCAGATTCTCTGGTACTATGCAGCCTGGTGTGACTCTTCGTGATCTGGTTCAGGCCATTCCCTACACTGCCCTCCAGATGGGATTGTTGACAACCGAGAAGAAGGGAAAGAAGAATATCTTCTCTGGACGCATTTTGGAAATCGAAGGTCTTCCTGACCTCAAGTGCGAGCAAGCCTTTGAGTTGAGTGATGCCTCTGCTGAACGTTCTGCTGCTGGATGCACCATCAAGCTCAACAAAGAGCCCATCATTGAGTATTTGAACTCGAACGTTGTGATGCTCAAATGGATGATCTCTGAGGGTTACGGCGATGCACGCACCTTGGAACGTCGTATTGCTCGCATGGAAGAGTGGCTTGCCGACCCCGTCCTTATGGAGGCAGATGAGAAGGCTGAATATTCTACTGTGATTGACATCAACTTGGACGAGTTGAAGGAGCCCGTTTTGGCTCTACCCAACGACCCCGATGCATCTGCTCTGCTTTCGGAGGTTGCGGGAAACAAGATCGATGAGGTCTTCATTGGAAGTTGTATGACAAACATTGGGCACTTCCGCGCTGCTGGAAAGCTCTTGAAAAACTTGGCAAACCCCATTCCCACCCGTCTCTGGATTGCACCCCCCACAAAGATGGACGAAGCTCAACTGATCGAGGAAGGATACTACTCCATTTTTGGTGTCGCTGGAGCACGAACGGAAATGCCAGGATGCAGTCTTTGCATGGGAAACCAAGCTCGTGTCGCCCCCAAGTCAACCTGCGTTTCCACAAGTACTCGCAACTTCCCCAACCGTCTTGGACAGGGAGCAGACGTATACCTAGCCAGTGCTGAATTGGCAGCTGTCGCCAGTATCGAGGGAGAGCTGCCATCGGTGGAAACATACTTGAAGTACATGGACGATGTGAATGCTACCGCCGATGACACCTACCGATACTTGAACTTTGACGAACTGCCCAACTTCGTCAAGAGTGCCGATTCCGTTGAGATTAGCGCAGAAATGAGGGACGCTGCCAAGAAGTTGGATATGGCTGAATAGATCCGCGTCTTGTGCGGGGTTGGAGCGTACGGTACCGACTTGAGTAGTAGATAAAGTTTTTAAAAAGCATTACTACATGTATTTAGTCAGAGTACCGGTAGCAGTAGAACTCAATCGGCTTTTCCCCTGCAAATGCCGGTACCACTTTGGCCATCTTTGCGGCACGCCTAACACCCACTAGCGGTACGGCGACATGACGTCCTTCGCAGCCTTGCTTGATGAGTAAAAGAGCTTGGTCGAAGACGAGCAGTGGTGAGCACGTGAGCACTGGTGAGTTCTGTGTTTCTAAAAAAACAAGCCTGTCGTGGTTGGTCCTTAAGTTCCTGAAATAGGGTTAAGCACGGCTTTGGTCAACGGCCAGACAGATGGATTCTGGCAGCCAACGAATTCCAGGATCCGATCATCAGCCGAACAGATCGCTCGCCTTTGGATCGACCAGCACGATGACAAAATACATGTAGAACACTCTCCCAGCTCTTGGCATCCGAGAGACACAGCGCCCCATCAGTTCATCAATTCATTGGACTGCTTGCATATCTCTATTAGCCAGAGAAACAACTCAAGGATCTAACTAGTACTGGTAGGCAGAGAAAGAGAAAGGCAAACCAAAAAGCTATATCTGTTGTTCGTATACCCAAAGTTCAGGGAGCACAAAATGAGCGGAAGAGGTAGAGGATTCAGCCCTAGAGGCGGCGGAGGTAGAGGTGGTCGAGGAGGACGAGGTGGCCGAGGAGGAGGCCGTGGGGGAAGAGGAGGGTAAGATCCTCTTGTTGGCTAGTACAAACATTTCTGCATTTTGCTTACGCACTCTGTTCTGCTTTCTGTTTTGTGCTCACAATTTAACTTCAGCTTCGGTGGTGGCTTCGGCGGCGGAAGAGGCGGAGGCCGGGGAGGCGGAAGAGGAGGAGGACGTGGAGGTGGAAGAGGAGGAGGACGCGGAGGTGGAAGAGGTAGAGGTGGTGGAAGGGGAGGCATGAAGGGCGGTTCCAAAGTGGTTGTAGAGCCCCATCGGCACGAGGGGATCTTTGTTGCCCGTGGTAAGGAGGATGCTCTGGTCACTCTGAATTCCACTCCTGGAGTTGCCGTTTACGGCGAGAAGCGCATCAGTGTTGAGGTGCCCCCGGTTCCTGGCAGTGAAAGTAGCACACCCACCAAGGTGGAATATCGAGTGTGGAATCCTTTCCGATCAAAATGTGAGTACCTTGGAGCTTTATGTTTGTGGCAGAAAGTTGTTGTGTTCTAACACAGTTTTCTTTGTATACTTTGACAGTGGCTGCTGCTGTCCTTGGTGGAATGGATAATATCTGGATTGCTCCAGGAATGAAAGTTTTATATCTGGGAGCAGCTGCTGGTACCACGGTGTCCCATGTGAGTGACATTGTAGGTCCCAAAGGAGCCGTCTATGCAGTGGAGTTCTCGCATCGACCAGGTCGTGATCTTTTGGGAGTAGCCAAGTTGCGGACAAATATCATTCCCATTGTAGAAGATGCACGCCACCCTTTGAAGTATCGCATGCTGATTGGAATGGTGGATGTGGTGTTTGCAGATATTGCACAACCAGATCAAGCCCGTATTGTGGCGCTGAACAGTCATTATTTCTTGAAGAATGGAGGTCATGCGGTTGTGGCTATTAAGGCTAGTTGTATTGACAGTACAGCAGCACCAGAGGCTGTGTTCCGAAGAGAAGTGAGCAAACTGCAATCTGAACAATTCAAGCCACTGGAGCAACTTACTCTGGAGCCCTATGAGCGCGATCATGCTGTGGTGATAGGCGAATACAGACCCAGCAAGAAGAAAAAGAGCAAGGATTGAGACTGAATGCCGCCTGAACACATCAGGCAAATTGTCTGGTCATAATGCTCTGGTGGTGGGTATTGCTGAATGTTTGTCAGCTGAAAAGTAAGCATACCGGTAATGATTATTGACTAGAGTACCCCGTTCATGCATCTTACAAAAGACCACCAACTACATGTATATATATATATATACACCAATGAAACAATCAGTATCCTATCAGTACGGTACAGTAGAGCTCAACTCTAGCTATACACTAATGAAAAGTGGAAACAAAGATGAAAAAAAGGCGACTATATAATACATCACCCCTATGACACCAAACAAATAAAGCAACTCAGGCTAGCTAGTATTCATGAATTCTCTAGAGTGATTTACTGCAAGTAGATTTAGCTTCGGTGAGTATTGCAAAGTGATCCCATAGATTGTGGCAGATATTATTTGTTCAAATGGCCTTTGGATCCATACGTTTTCCACTGGGTAGAGCAGCCAGACAGCACTCGACCCGAATCCTTCCACACTCCTTTGTCTATTCAGTGTAGCACAACGGCCCCAAACTCAACATCAAAAACATCACACACCAGCCGTAAATTGTTTCTTTTTTTCCTCTTCCACACTCGGTCTCAAAGACCATAATTCAATCGGAAAATGTCGTTGTGGACATAATAAGCGCCGGGGCCTGTGGAAACAAGCTGGAAAAGCTCGCAAAAGTGCAGTGGGTTGCCTTGGGCATCCCCAATCCGGACATGGCCGGTGACAAAGATCACAATGGCATTTCCGGCGGCTGAAGGCTGGACATCCATGGATTTCACATTATGGAAACACTTTCCGACTTGTGCCAGTTTGGCTACGATCGCCTGAGACCCTTGAAATTGGTCTCCCTCAAATGTAAGCATTGAGGTATCATTCTGCAAAGCACAAAAGCAAACAACAGGCAAGTTAGACCAGGGAGACGAACCGAGTCGTGACGTCACAACGTCGCATTGCTGCTTTCGGAAGGCTTCCAGCTAGTCAGCACTGATTCGATTCACTCACATACAGACCTGCCAGACTTTGGGCATTGTTGTCAAACGATTGATAGAAATGTGTAACAAACGCTTTGGCAACTTCTTGTGGGTCGGACATGGTTACTCTTTGCGTTGATGCTCGGCAAGTACGAGGAAGAGAGAGCTGGAGGTGATCGATGGATTGATGAGTGGGGATGAGGACGATGAAGCCAGATTGGAGCCTTGTTGAGCGCGAGAAAAAGCTGCGCACACTCGCGCGAAGTCCTTAAATCTCTGAGAAACATAGTGAGTCGAGTCAACGGCTCTCTCAACCACGCTCGAAAGGCACCGCAAGATCCACGAAAGAAGCCAAACGAAGACAGCGCAGCGGTCATCTTTGATTTTCCAACCTCATTGTTGTTGTTGCTCTGTTCATCCCAGCCTCTTGCTTGACACCCGAGGTTGCTTTGTTTTTATTGTTTTTCGCATCATGTCTACTTCTCTCATACTGACGCCGGAGACTGAACTCCATTTTGTGCTCTCCGCGAGCGAAGAGACAGCAAAATGCACCATGACGTTGAGACACCCGGGGTCAACCGACGAGTACATCGCATTCAAGGCATGTAGATCCAGTACTGAATCCTACGCATCCAGGATTGAGTCGCCGGAAGATTTCAAGTGATGTTTTTCTTTTTTTGTTTCCCTCACATGCTCTCGTTTTCGTCGACATTTTTATTTTATGTTAGGTGAAAACAACCCAACCACGACGCTACTTGGTGAGGCCCAACCAGGGCTTGATTGCTCCTGGCGCCACCGAAAAGGTCGCTATCATGTTGGTCGAGAAAGACAAGAATTCTCTCCTCCAGTCCTATGAACGCTTGGGACAGTCGGCCCTTGATCATTCCAAGGATAAGTTTCTCGTACAATCATGCCCCGTTGCTGAATCTTTTTCTTCCAAGTACATGGACACCAAAAGCAAGGGAACCGACAACACCCAGCTCTACGAGGCTCTAAATTCCATGTGGTCTTCGGCAAGTGGAAACAAGTCCATGGAAAACAAGAAACTCCATGTGCGCTTGGCTGTTAAAGATGGAGGAAATAGCCAAACCTCCAAGTCGTTGACAGCAGCGCAAGCTTCCATGTTGAAACCTCACGAGACTTCACAGGAAGACGTTGAAAATATGACGCCTCCGCAGTTGTTTGCTGAAATTTCTAGTCTCAGGAAAAAATACGATGAACTCGTCTCCTTTTCGGTCAATCTTACGGCGGAACGTGACATTCTCAACAATACGTTGGAACAGACAAAGCGAGAATTAAACAAGGAAGTGGCCAGTCGATCGGCTCTAGAGAACAAAGGTGCTGGTGGCTCTGGAGGTGGCGGTGGAAGTGCAGCTGGAGGAGGTGGCGGAAAAAACAACATTGTCCTCACGATTATTACCATGTTGGTCCTTGGCGCGGCTTGCTTCACAGCTGGGGTCAGAGAGGCCAAGCTTGGACGAATGGACTTCCTGGACGAAGTTCCTCACATTGGAGAACTCTTTGTCCCAGAAGGAGGACCGCCACCAGGGGGAGAACCAGCAACAAAGAGAATCCTCGAGGAAGAGCCTGTTGTTTGAGGGAGATTGAACCTATTCTTTATCACCCAGTCGTTCTTTGTACGCTTTCAATGTGCAGCTCTGCCAAATTTCAATTTCATTATTCTGCAAGTGATAGAGGTTTTGATGTGGTCTGTGAAGGCATGAAAATAGGCATAGATGTTTCAGACAACTTGTGAAAATAGCTTAAAGAGTGTTTCTGTCGTTCCCTTCGTTCATGTATTCGTCTCAACTGCATCGAATGACCAGCGCTGTCTCTTCACACCTCAGGTGTTTGGATTTCGCCTTGGTACTAGCTGTGCCAATGCATGCCAAATGGGCGCTTCGGCATCCCCACCAGTCTTAGGACCGGTACGTACACGTACTCCACTGGCGCGTAAAAATAGATCTTTTTCTCCTTTTTCTTTGGAAAAGCGTTTCCTGCCATAGCCGCAGCAAAACATCCTGATATCAAGCATGAATGTACGTACCGGTACCTGGTACCAGGTTTGTCATCTGAGCACTCTACTAGAGATTCATGCGCCTACCTAGTCTAGCCCACGGCAGCAATCCATGCGGATTTTGCTGAGCGCTGAATGCCAACCCTTTGCTACCCGTCATCAGCCTTTGGTTGGCCCTGTCCTTTAGTTAGTTTGCATCCGGATGATCAGTATCGGTAGAGGGTCTGTGGAAAGGGTATTGGAGCGAGCTTCTGTGCGTCCGTTTAAGCTTTCGACAACGTTGCAATCTAACCCAGAACAACCGACCATGCCGACCATACCAGGTACCAGGTGGTACCGGTAGCACCAGTACGATTACACACAGACTATCTATATTTATTTATCTATTGAGCCCTGCCAAGCACACTGTACACTGACTTTCTATACTCGTATCCAGTGGAAGAGTTGTCGCTTCGTCTTCGATTACAGCATCGGCAAAAATGGAGCCTCCCAATGGTGCTGAGGCACATCATGCTGCCGCCAATGGATCCTTCTTACCAGCACTAGCGGATCCATCACTGACCACTACACACGCATTGGTAGCGTACTTGCGGATGGAAGCCGATCTGGCCGAAGAAAAGAGTAAAAGACTGCGAGCCCAAGCTGCTGCATTGAGCGAACGGTTTGGCGTGACGGAAGATATGCAATCTCAATATGAATTGAATCCAGATCAATTACCACCCACCGACGAGAACGGAGTGCCCAAGTATCGAGGCAAAAAGCGTGGCCGCAAACCCAAACCACGCAAACGAAAAGTGGATCCCAATCGGCGTAAACGACAACACACCGCCTACACGATTTTCGTTCAGGAGACTTATCCAGGCGTCAAACTACAGCACCCAGATTTGCAGTCCAAGGACGTAATTTCCATGGTGGCTCGACAGTGGAAAGAGTTTGATCCACAGGAAAAGGCAATGTGGAAGGCCAGAGCTCAGGCGACACATGTGGATGAGGAGGAAGAAGAAGAACCGGATATAGCAGACACGACGACAACACTGCACGATCCGGAGCAACACCACGTCCACCATCACTTGGAGGATGTTGATGGCGAGGCAGAAGCCACAGCAGCTGCCGATGCCGTTTATCAAGCACATGTAGCTGGAATGGGAGACGAAGCAGTGGAGGAGGAAGAGGAAGACCATTTGGACAACGAAGAAGAAGTGGAAGAAGCAGAACAAGACGAGGAGGAGGAAGAGGTCGCGCCGCCAGCCACTCGAAGACGACGGGGAAGGCCCAAGAGGTCTTAGCCTCGTTCAAAGAAGTCATGCAAACTACCGGTACCAGATACTTGTACTTGTAACTAGGGTTACATACTGTACGTTTGATGCATTCTTGTTTGATGTATCTAATGAAAGTGGAATCGAATCGATTCGAATTCAACGACCGTCCACCAGTAACTTTCCTCTTCCCAACCAACGGCTGAATCTCGATGCTACCGTATTGGCAAACCAATAAGAGACTCTTCAACTCATAAAATCACATGCATATGCATCCTTCTCATATAAAAGTCTAGTACTCAAAAGGCGTCAAACCCCCCTCTGCCAAATGCGCAATAGCTTCAAGAAGCTTGGGCAACATATCCTGAGCCGGTCCTGTAATGTTCTCAGCGTTCAGCCGGGCGTTGGGTTCAAGCATATCCGAAACATTGAAATTGAAAACTGGGAGGCCCACCTCCTTTGCATGATCGAGGGCCACAAGCGGAAGAGTCACTGCAAAACTGGTGCCCACAAACACCAGAACCTCGGCAGCAGCAAGCCAGTCTTCCATCCTAATAAAGTCGTAATGCTCGTGGCTGTGATATCCTTCATCAAACAGGAGCGACTGAGGAAGTACTTGATTGCCACAGGAAGGACAACGAGGTACCTTTGTCAACAAGCGAGGAGCCCGGTCGTCTTCATCCGCGTTGCGCCCTCTGCCTCGTCGGGGTGCCGAGCTACCAGTACATTTTGTAGGATTCAAAACTCCCCAGACACTAGAAGGAGACAGTTGCTTGACAGTCAAGGATTCCAGCATTTGATACTGGCAAGACGGGGCGTCCACGTTTCCGTTGGTGCTGCTTCCACTGCTGCTGCTGCTGACATCCGTCGAAACAGCCGCCACAGGTGCTCCTTTTTGTGGAATCCTTGATTGTTCTGCCTGATGCTTTCGTTTGCATGCACGGTACTTCTTCCTCATTCCCAAATGGACAAAGCGATCGTCGTCTTCGTCGCTGGAGGAATCCGTATCGCTGTCCTCCGCCGGGAGGCACTTGTACAATCCCAGCCGCCCGTGCGCTTCGATGATATTAGACTTGAGCCTCGCAGCAAACTCTTCGTTCTCTTCCTCTTGATCAATGGCCACTTGTTGGAGTCCATCCACATTTTGTGTAATAATCTTCACGCTGTCCGGGAAGGCCTGTTGCAAAGCTGCCAAAGAGAAGTGTCCTTCATTTGGATCATACTTGCCTTCGTAGTCGTCGACAGGGAAATAGCGAAGCCAGAAATCGTTATACCATTCCAAGGGGTCCTTTCGGAAATCTTTGCGGGTGGCCCGTGTCCAGAGCACAGAGTCCCAGATGCCCAAGGGTTGTTCTTCTACAAGCCCGTTTTTGCCCTTGGAGTTTCTATTCTTGTATGAGCCAGCGCTGCCGTTACTGTTGCTGCTGTTGTTCTTCCATGCGGAATCGTTGGAGTAGAGGCGGGAACTATTGTTGGTAGTCCGAAACACTGGCACTCCACTTGCTACGCTCAATCCTGCTCCAGTGACAAACACTACTTGTTTGCCTTGCTGGATGTAGCGGGCTAGTTGCCACAGTGAAGAAGACCCCCGACTGCTGCGACGACGCGGCTCATCGAAAGAAGTATCCCTTTCTTCTGAAACTTCTGAAATCTTGCGCCTGCTGCTAGATCGTTTGTTGAGTCGAGGTGAATGCCGACGCTTCCCTGCCACAGAACGCCCCCCAACAGGGCGGTTTGTCGATGGCTTTTGACGAGGAAGGCCGTAGGCGGTTGTCGACATGGCAGCTTAAGCAAATCCAGGAGATCAACGACAGAAAAACTCTGTTCTTCAAATGTGGCTGAAACTTTGCAGCTAGCTACAGCAAGGGGTTTCTAACCGAAACAGGGAGGTTTTGCAATACGTAACCCCTTATTTTGGTAATGTTGATGTGGAGCGTCAAGGGCAACAACAGTGTCCGCCATGTGCAGAAACGAGACGCTTTGATAGAAACATAGAAACTGGAATGAGTGGAACAGTGGAACTGCAAACTGCGATGATTTCCAACCGAAAAACCATGTGAAGTCGACTGCAGAGGGCTGTGTCTTTAATTCCGAGACAGGTCATAATTGATATTTTCTGCGCTTTAAATGTTGGTTTTCGAATACAATTCGACTTGATTGAGTTCTTCGATTAATGATCCATAAAAGGCTTCGATGACATCAAGGCGAGAGACTGGGAGCAAAAGCGATGCACGAGGTTTTCAGAGGAAACTTTTGTCTATGCATTACATGTTCTGGTAGTAAATGAAATGACCACTGTATGCATGAATCTCCAACACGGAACCATGTGAGCATCTTTCTATCCAATGCCAACATCTAGTGCGCTGAAGCCAGCATGCCATCCTCCTCCAAAGCCAAGGCATCCCTTTCTGGTTCCATGCATTACATGTAGTCTACAGGTGAAAAATTCTCCATCCAGAAATCATCGCCAGCAGTGGGATTGTGAGTGGAGCAGAGAGTGCGTTGGCTTTACTGGTTTCAAGCAAAGTATCCTCTATGATCAAGACAGGTGGGTGTTGTTTTGTTTCCGATGTACGCACCCATCGTATGGTTTGATTGCCACATACCTTTACAGAATAGCTTACATTGTTTCCAAAGGATTCATTCAAAACACTACCTGATTCATTATTTGACGAGTTGGATGAGGGAGCGGCTGTTTCTACGAGGAGATCCTCAGTTTCTCGAATGACCAGCTCAAATCTATCGCCACAATACCCCAGCACCGAGTCTTGCGCGGATATGGTCACTACGGCTACATCTTCAGGGACATCCACCCCGGAGAGAGACCGAGTGAAAGGCTGTTCATTTTCGTGAGGATGTAGCAGTGTTCTGGTTCCCAAAATGTTACCCTGCAAATCTTGCACCCTCCACTCGTCCGCATACTTGTCCCAACCAGTTTCGGTTGATGATACTGTCGCGTGAAAGGTCCAAGTGCCACCTGATGAGCTCTGACTTGCTCTTGCATCCACTACATGGGCACAACCCTCTTCACCGTGAACGGGAAGCAACCACCCAAACAGCAGCAAAAGAGCACAGCCGTTTTTCAAAAATTGCATTCTTTAGAAGTTTGGTGCTGAAAAGTTGAATGTCGCGATGGGATGTCGGCGGCAGCGATTGTTTCCTTTGATAAGTGCACGTATTGAATCAACTAACTGGCGTGCATGCCAATCACATCACAAGAAACTGTCGCTGGCTCCTTGGCATCATAGAAAGTCACAACAAACAACAGAATCAAAGGACAAAGCCTTGCCAAACAAGGCCCGAGCAACCAAAAAGTGATCAGCTTCTCGAAAAGGGAATGAAGCTTGGAGCTCCGTTAGCGCTCGAGTTTCCTATTCGTGACTTAGTTGAGTCGTTTTTACTTTGGCGAGGTTGAAAGCGAAGATACGGCCTCAACACGTGGAAGGCAACTGCCGATGAAGAGACAACACGTATGAGAGCCAATGAAACAACCCAACATCAACATTGGCGACGTGCAATTGAGAGGTCGCCTCGTCTCTCGTTTGTCTTCTCTTCGCCTCGATCGGTTCAACTCCAACCTTTGGTTGCTTTACCTCCACCAACCAACGAAAAGGTACAGTCGTACCGTCGACGATTTCATTGTCCTTTTGTCGGTAAGTTACCATGTGTTGATGGGAATAGTGGTTGCAAGTATCGTGCCGGTGGCAGTGTATCTTTGTGATGATGGATGGATGACAATCAATACATTTTTGTCGGAAGTTGGCTGCAGCAATGTGGTGTCTTCTCACTTTTCCATCTCTGCATTTTCGTGTCATACTTCTCGGGGTATCTCCAGAGACTTTTTGCTAGAAACTACCGCATAGAATCTTAATCATGGCAAAGCAAACCAATAGCAGACGTCGGCTTTTGATGGCAGGATGGGCAATGCTGGTCCTAATGGCTTTGACAATGCCAATGAGTGTTACTGGGCAAGAGGGTGAAGCTGTGCATCACGAGGAAGCTGTCCACGAAAGCGCCGAGGAACCACCAACCCCTGCGGAGCCTGTTGTGGAAGATTCAGCCAATCCTCCAGTTCCCGTGGAACAAGCCGAGCCACCAACACCACCTACCCCTGAAGAGGAACCTGAGCCAGAACCTGAGCCAGAACCCGAGCCGGAGCCAGAACCCGAGCCAGAACCGGAGCCGGAGGTAGTGGAAGAAACCACCACTACTACGTCTACTGAAGCCAGTAGTACTTCAAAGATCCCTGGTGCTCTGAAGAAAAAATGTACCGAAGTGGTCGATCGAGTCAAGGGTATTAGCCAATCGGATGCCAAGAAGATTGCTGCCGCAGTCGTTGGTGTCTGGGGTGTTAGTGCTGGTGTCGGATGGATTGCGCAAAATGCCAACAACAATGGCGCTCCTCAAAACAAGAAGAAATAAACATCTTTTGCTGCAATGCAATCCTTCCTCTTTGGTTTTCACTTCACTTCCAATCCTCCTGCTTCATCATCATCGGTATCGTTTGCTTAGCTTGGAGATCCTTGGTGGACATCATAGCTACAGACGATGTATTGGAAAAAGACACGTATGAGAGACACCATGAACATTTGCTTTCATCTGCTTCTCTTCCCAGCAAAATTTTTACTGTTGCACATTCTTATCATAAGTTTGACGTTGTATTGCTATTACCTGTAGCTAGGTGTAGACCTGCCGGTAGCTAGCAGAGCACTTGCATGCAGCTCAGGGTTCGTTGATGCTTTGCTTATTGATGTACATACTAGTAGCTACTAGAATCAAGTTGGCTGCTGTCTAAGTAAGTGAGCCAGTCGGTGCGATTACCCCCAAAGACAGCAATGCGCCGAGTGCCGAATGCATGGGCTGCTGTTCCGCTTTCTGGCACAGTAGAAAGAGAAATAAAACGGTAATCCCTAGTCTTGAACATAAGGACAGATTTTGAAAGGGCATCCTGGAGCAAGAAGCTTCTCGCTCTCTGAAAGCGATGCAATAGCAATACCGTAGCTTGTAGCTGGCAGGCGAGGCACCTTGTTAGGTCAACTCGATTCTGGACAAGAACACTGGTAGGACGTCAAAGTACTAGTATGCATAAGTGGCTTCCGCAAAGTGTAGTGGAGCTAGCTGGCAACAGTTGGCAAGTTTTCCGCTCAGAAGCCTATGAGTTATACTTTTGAAGTTGTATGTTCACTTCATTTTTACACAACCCAAGTACCGGTAGCCCAATATTGTTGGTTGATTGATTCATTTGTTTGAGAACTTGAACGAATAAATGAATTAGTATGCAAATTCTCGGTGGTGCTGCGTATCATTGTTCTGGGCCCCAAGATAATCCTTGATGCATTGCAACATTTTGGTAAAGTTGGTCAGGACCACATTGCGCATCATGGGAGCATTTCTTGCCAGGATTTGATAGCATAAATGGACAAAATCAGGGTCCTCCAACTGTCTTGTGAATACATTACGCTTAACTTCCACGAATCCGTCTTCTGTCACACCATCCTGTGTGATGGATGCATCTCCATTATTTCTTCCTTCCTTTGGTTGTTTTATTTTTGTCGTCACCGTCTTTTCGACTACCAAATCCACAACGGGGGTCAGCACATTTCTCAACCGTGGTGTGACTCGGGAAGCAATTTGATCTTGCGTGCTGTTGAGTTCGTCATTGAGAAGCGATAAATTTTGGTCCGATGCCCCGCTGCGATCGGTACCCCACTTGTAGCAGGCCGTGGAAACACAACATAACACGAGACCCAGCTCTTCCAACACCACCTGCAACTCGCTAGCCCAGCGCTTGATCAACGCTTTTTTAAGATTGTTGGGAGGTTCTCCTATTACCGAAGATGTCTCATGCGGAGAAGTCCCCTCGACGTAGAAACCTTCATCGGGGATAGGGGGTACCTGCTTTGCCAGGGCTGCTATTCGATCATGAATTTCTTTGAGAGTCAGCGGTTTGAAGCCAAAACCGTCAAAACGCTCCTTTTCCTTCCCGCCATTCTCTTTCTTGGAGGCTGCTGTGGACTTTTTCTTGGAAGGAATGGCATTGCCCTCTTCCTTGTTGTCGGTGGCTTTTCTCTTCTTTTGAGCGTTCATTGTTCACCAGTGCTACTGTTTCAACCGTCACTTCTGCTGCCACCTATGCTTCCACTCTTTCCTCCTTCTCAACTTTGATCCCTTCGATGCCCTTCCGCGAGAGACAGTGCGTAGCCTGTCTATGCTGAATGAGTTGGTTGTGTTGTGGTGCTTTCGTTGGTTGCTTCGAGCGAACAAAGACGAAAACGATGGAGCGGGAGAGAAACGGGCATCTGCGCGCCCTACTACGGGAACTCCACGGCAACACACCGGGGCTCTCATAAGTAAAATAACCTGGGGTGTGGTGTTAATTAAATTGACCCTTAAATAATTTTTTGTCCTAATCAAACAAGTTCCCCCGCGCACCTCTAACGTCCCTCTCTAATTACAGAAATTCGGCGACCATGTTCAACACAAATTTCAGTCGAAAGGTAAAAAAGAAGCAGAGTCTCGCGACACCGTCTCAAATCAGTTCCGATGAAGAAGAAGACGAGCAGAGAATGCAATCGCCCAATCGCGAAGATCGCACTACCAACACGCCAAGCCCACCACTCATTCTAATGTATGCGACCTCAGCGAGAAAACAGAGTACCTCAAAATGGTATGGGCGTATTCTCTGTACACCGCACAATAGAATTCCGAAAAGACCAAAGACACCCTCCGGCATCATCACTGCGACCATGAACGACACACAACACCTTCCACAACAGGCACAAATAAAGATGAGTAACAGAACAAAGAACGAAAGAACCTCAACCACATGAAACCAAAAGATAGAGAAACACGTCGAAAAAACCCAACACAAAACGAAATCCAACAACACAAGAACAACACCCAGACATCCGCCGACTCGCTCAACCAAGCAATGACCCAACCGGTAGGGCGACAAAACACTCAAAGCTTTGGAAGAAATGGAAAAAATGCTTAAATCCCGGACAAGAAAGACTCCTACTCACTCGCAACAACCAACTGCTCGCGCCGAAACGACCACCGAGCAACCATACAAACAAGACCCGCCAAAAAGATCCTACAGCATCACAACTGCTACACTCCGACAAAAAAACCCTTGATAATCAAGAAACGACCACCACCCAGCAAGCGATACAACTCGCACAGCAACACCCTCTCTGATACACAAACAACGTCACCAACCTGCGCACGAGCCAAATCAACAGTGAACCTCCCGATAGACCACACGCCCACGGACCCCCCAATAGAAACGCAACCCACGCCCACCGAGACCTTCTGAATCAATCAATGAGTACCTGATCACGCTAGCGCGCCTACGCACCTTAGAAATCTCAAAACCAAAAATCAGAGTACCACCAAACCTCCGAAACTGATCCCACGGAAAAGACCCTGTCCAATCGAAAGAAATCCCTTAAATAAACCCGCATTCCTCCCGGCAGTGCAATATGGAGACGAAGATATAGGCATGAGCCAGAACTCCTTCGCACCCCTCACATGAATTTGTTCCAGATCGCAATACAATTATGCTCTCATGAACAAAGATCAAGCCAGCACAGACCACATAGCTCTTCCGACTAACTAAAGACGTTATCTCCCAATGCATTCGAACACCACCAACAGAAAGCCTCACAACATTTCACACAAATACACATGCTCTCGCAAAGCCCAATCGCCGATAAGAAACCCCACGACCCCTCAACCCTCCGGAGAAAGAAATTGTAGAGACCCACCCCAACCTTTCCATCACAAAGAAAAACACCCAACAGTACACACCAAGGCTCTCAACGCCATCAGCCGCTCGAAAGTTTCACCACGAATGTCAAAATCGAGGAGCGAGAAGACGAATCCGCAGAAACACAAGACCAGAAATACGACACACCCACACACCACAACAAGAACAGGAAACAACCCATCATAACCCGCGTACACACCCAAGATATGACACATGAGCGACCTACCACAACAATGCACACCAACAACCCTCCTGCTCACCAACCGACTCAATCAACTCGCAAACTAATGATCTACCCCGCGAAACAGCACAGAAAACAACACCACCGAACCTACACCAACTCATCAGAGTGAAAGATTCAACGAACAAAACAAGGCCTTCTAGCCAGGTAGCCACACCCCACAGCTTAACTGCCCCGCAAAAAACACACACCATACAAATACTGCAAACACTCACGAATCCCGGCCCCTAATGAAAGAGCCGATCACACCCCTCTACCAGAATAACCACAAAAGAGGCCCTAATGAGACAGAACCCCTCGCACAAGAGCAAACATCACACGATCCCATCAACCCTTACAAATACACAATAAAAAGAACACGCTCCCAACCAACACACCAAGACACTCAAATGCAACCAAGAACCAACCACCAAAACCCACACAAAGAATCAAGGAGACGAACGCTCACACTCAAACGGCTCCTCTGCCCCCAAGGAACAATTCCAATCACCCAACATGCAACCGCCAAACACAAACGATACAACCCACAGGACAATCACCAAGACTGGCACGTACACTTCCAGACTGGAAAAAACACCACATCTCACCACCCCACCGCCACCCCACCAAACTCACCCCTCAAGAGCACACATCCCACATAACCCCCAAACAACAACCGCACCATGGACCCGCACCACATCCCACCGGCCGGCACAGACGTAACCAACCAGACCCGCGCAACCGCCCGGATCTGCACTCCCGAACACCAACACCAACCCAAAACCAAATAAAAATCAAGAACGACGACAAGACAACCCAACCGACCGAGATACGTGCACCCAAGCAGCAAAACCCCACTGCCAACTGACGCACCGAACAGACACAACACCCACTCGCACACACGACGCTCTTGCCGCAACTACACGAGGCTGCCGACAACAATGACGAACAAACACCCAGCCTAACAAGAACCAGCACAAGCATCCTTGCACAACACGACAAACAAACCACAGCAACAACAGCAATAAGAGCCAATGCCAAAGCAACAAAGACAGATCCAAAAATAGCATACAACACGAGAATCCAGGCAAGAACAACCGCCCTCGCGCCGCGCATCAGCAAACATGAGCAAGGAACAAACCAGCAAAAACAATCCACCCCACTGCAACAAATGACACCACCAGAACAATCAGCAATTGCACCAAAACAACAATCCACATTCCTGTCCCCACTTCACGGAAATGACAACGATCATCCAACACCCCACGCTTGCCGTCATTCAAAACCTACCTGGAAACAACAATCAAAACCCACAAAACGACGGGACGAATGGCCATAGTGGAGGTTGGAAGTCACAAAGAATGAAATCAACAAGTGTGTCAATGAAATCGCATAGTTTCGACTGTTGTTCTTCACGTCGATATTAACGAAATCGACTGCGACCTTCGATTTCTTTCTTGCATCCGATTCGCATTGGTCCCCTGGGAGTTGATCCTCTCTTTACCTTCCGTTGGCTAAAAACCCTGATAGCTAGCATACAATATTGTAAATCATACAATAAGTAATTTTCAGAAAATTGAACAATCTATCATTGTAGCTAAAGATACGGTTAGTCTATATTTCGGATAAATCACATCGACTTGAACAGATGCACATCACTCCAAAATTCGTACTCGGAATCGATTCAATCGTACTAAGTTTGCCAACTTTGCAGCCTTCAATTTGCCATTGTTGCTATCCCAGAGAATCAAAAAGAAATAGAGATACTCTACGGACCGGTACCAGGAATAGCAACAAGCCGCTTTTGTTTATGGTGACGACGTTGAATTGATGTTGGCTCCTACTTACGCTGAGTAT